GCCCTATTTCTTCTGGGTCTAGGGGCCACAAGAGACAAGACAACAAACAATCAATCAGGAGTTTAAAAATGGCCATCGCACCGACTGCCGGTGCGAAGATGCGTTTTTTGCGTAGTTCTCCACAGAAGTTTTTGTCGCTAACAACACTTTTTTCCGGCAGATGCTTCTAGCTAGGAGAATTGAGACCGGCCACCAGGACTGTCAGGAAACATCCCTTTAAAATTTGAGCTTTCTAGCTTTCCTGGTTCCCGAGTTAGCCGCTTACCCGTAGAAAACTTTTACAGGCCCATACATAGGAATCACGCATACCTGGAGGCTGGATTTGAACTCATTAAGACCTACGTGGATGGTGATATCCCCTTAAAATTACAGCCTTCTAACTTCTCGGGTTCCCAAGTTAGCAGTTTTCTCGCAAAAAGTTTTCACGGGCAGAACCGCATACCTTGGGGCTGAATTTGAAGTCATTAGATTGTGCATGGACGGGGAACGTCTCTTAAAATTCCAATGTTCTAGCCTTTTGGGTTCCCGAGTTAACCACTTATCCGCAAAAAACTTTGACGGGTCCGTACGTGAGAGCCACGTAGGTAAGAGCGCCCATTTTGGGGGTAGGGGCCCGTACGTGCATGTAGATTAAGTTCCCGAAATTTCAACCCTTTAGCTTTCATATGTCTCGAGATGAAAAATCGGTGCAGACACACATACAGGCACACAGATAACCTCTCGACAGTATGCATTTTTGCATTACAAATATGCAAAAAATGCGTAAAGAAGCATGATAAACTTGATAGTGCTAGCTATGACTTCAGCTTTCTTAACAAAAAGTGAACCAAAAGAAATCCGTAGTGGCAAACAGGCATCCCACTAACTCTGTCGGATCAATGGAATTGCCAGAGAAACAACGAAGGGCCATATTTATCTTTAAAAACAGTGTATGCGCAAACGCGCATGGGAATGACAGTCTCGTTTTTCGTCATCAGTAGTTTCCAGTCAGACGTCAATCAAAAGAACTTCGGCATCAAAGACAGTTCTACGGATTTTACGACGATGCAGAGGAAATCAACGATCACAAGAGGGAACAAGATATAGGGTTGGCAAGTTTACTACGAAAGAATTGGAACGAACAAAATAGCAGGTATTCAAGCAACAGAATAGCAAGCAGGAAAGCAACAATCACTATACAGAGCGCTGGCTGGTTTTTTATGCGTTTTTGCCA